TTGCTGTTACATGTGTGTTTCTAGTTACAGGAGTCTCTTGAAGATCTGGAAGTGCATGTGGTTTGCTGAGTCTTGTTGAATAAAATAGGAAATTAACTATGCTTGTTGAGGTAAAGAAGAATTTCGATTATCATTGGCTATATATACAGAAGGGTTTTAAACCAAATTAAGAATTTTTTTTCTGGTCAGAATGCTTTGGTTGTATCAATTTCAGACCTGGTTTGATGCCTTCAGTAGCTTAGCAGGAACAAGCTGGCTGATGTATTTATTTTTGTATTGCTGGACAATGAAACAGTTGCCTCATGCATGCTGGGAAAGTATTCAACCAACTGTGATTGTAAATGTTTCCACTCAGATTGCATAAGCTTATAACACAGGGAAAGCTGGTCTCACTGTTGCAAGTTTATGTATTACTACAAAGGTTTTATCCTGTTGTACTCCATTGACAACTTAAACATGAAAACAAAACATAACATTTTGAAATAGTTAACATATATGGAAAAAAAGATTGTTTTAAACTGACTTGGGTTCAGATATATCTTAATGAACATGCAGTTATCTATCTTTGGAAAATTGTTGAGACAAAAAAAAACGATTCTAAAAAGAGACTGTTTTCTAAATATAGGCAAAACACAGGAATAGTTGGAATAATTTTGCAAACTTACAGAAGAAATCAGGAACTCCTGAGTAAGCATGGCTTCTCTAGAGGAAATGGTATCAGAACATGGGTTCTATGCTTTCTAAACTGTAGATAAAGTATTACAGAGAACAGATACTGATTTCATTGAGGCATAATCACTTAGTTTCAAGATGAAAAGTTTAGTTTTGGACTGTTGATATAGTTGATCCTGCATGTACCTCAAAACCATGCATTAAATTCTTGATTCCCATCTGGAGCACTTTCTCAGAAGGTGTTGAAACCTTCAGGAGATGGGGCCTCCCCCTCTTTTTCTTCTGTTTCTCATCTAAATCCTGCCTTTTAAGTTGATTCTTTTGTTGCTCAAGCATGAGGCTGCTTTCACCCTTCATTACAAAGAAAAAAAAATTAACAAGACCGGTGAAATTTGTATTCTAGTGAGGCAATACCTAAATGGAGAGAGGAGTTGTGCATTGCAAGACAAGTGGATGAAGTTGTAGCACATACTTGTATACGTGGATTGGAATGTCTCTGAGAAAATTGGCTTAGATGTTGTGGGCTCCACTTAGAGCCAACGAGTAATTGAAAAACAGTAGCCAAAATCATTAGAATAGCATGTAGATATTCACTTTACAAAGCATTTCTGGTTCCCAGAATTTTAAACTTGTCTTTGTTTTATTCAGATATGGAACTTTTAATTTGTAGGACTATTCAGAATAAAACTCGATTCTCTGTCTTAATAGGAGTTATGGGTAGTATTACATTGAAACCAGCTATAACTACACGATGACAGTGTTACAGACTTAAAGGTTTTAACCCATTAGTTTCAAAAGATTAATTTCTTGAAGACCATCAGCAGATTTAAATGACTATGTTCAAAGGGAGCTTTTAGACTTTTTAATTTTTTTTTAAATGTGGATGGGTATTTTGCTTGCATTGTGCTCCTGGAGGGAGACCCAGGGCTTTGGATCTCTGGAGGACTGGAGAAGGTTGTAAGTCAACATTGGCTAGAGGTTGAACCCAGATCCTCTGGAAGAGCAGCTGGTGCTATTAACTGCTGAATCTTTTCTCCAGTCTCTCAGCTGAAGCTTAAAAGTCAGACAGCTTTGAAAACTGTAGTTTCGAAATTACAGCTGGAGGAGAATTGGTGGAAACAAAAGAGTCTAAAACGAATTCCACTGTTTTAAATTCTCTGTGTGACTTCCAGGAAAAAGAAATGAGAGCTAAATGTCATATGTGTACACAGGCATAAGTACATGGGAATCTTTGTGCAAGCAGGGCAAGTGAAGATTGTAAAAACAGTAAAGATTCTTTCAGAGTCTGATAAGTGACCATCAAAGTTTTCTTTCTGCCTCACTTCTCTTTACCTTTACATAAAGTTATTGTTTTTTCCTAACAAAATTAAATACTAAAGACTTAGGTAGCAAATGGGGAGAAATGTTATTTTTAGACTACCCACTATTCATCCATCCAACTATTCATCTTTAGGCCTGAATGATCCTCCAATTCTACAGAAAATCCCATAAATTCTGACAAAATAGCTGGGGATGTTACTCAGTTTGTAGAGTAGTGCTTAACATTCACAAGCCTCTGGGTTTGATTTACAGCACCATATAAACTGTGTTGAGGTACATCAATCCCAGCACTTGGGGATGGAGTTAAGAGGATCAGGAAATTAAAGGTTATCCATAAATTGGCTAAATAGTGAGTTCGAGGCCAGCTTTGGCTCCTTGAGACCTTGGGTCAACAACAAACAAACCTGCAGGCAAATGGATAAAGGATAGTTTGGTTTAGGCATGTTGCATAGACAAGAAATTCCAACTGGCTGAAGAGATAGTATAGGCAGAGAGTTGACAAAGCAGATGAGAAACAAGAGCATAGCCAGGAGTATCAGGTGGTAGAGTTGAGCAAATGAGGCATAGCCATCTAGAAGCTGTCAACCTAGTCTAGTGGCCAGGCAGAGGCAGAGCATCTGAGTTTCTTACTGGGTGTTGACCCAGGTTTGAGAAAAATTAATTCAAAACTAGATTAATGACATTACCTCTTACAGCCCCGTGGGTGTGTGCTGCCCAGGATTGAAACTCCTTGTAGTTGGGCTGGGTTGTCTTGGTATATAGACTCATGCCTGGCAGAACTAACGATTTTAAGACCCCATGGCTCAGTGACAGACAGGCCTACAGCTCAGCTGTGTGAGGCTTATTCTTAATTGCATTTTGTTTACCTTTTCTTTTGTATCCTCTGATTCATTATGTATTCTCAATTTCTCAAACGTTCCATTTTTGGGCTTTGCTCAATTTCTATCTGGACTGTTGAATCATGAACTCATCTAACCCCTTCTGTTCAAACACAGATGGGTATATTCTTGAAATTCCATTCTGAGGTTCACTTCCTGCTTATTCTCTAAACCTTTGTTAGTTTCATGAATCACACCCTTTTAGTGTTAACTGGGAAGCAGTTGAGGTAAATGAAAAGAAGTTGGAGTTGGGCTTATTTCTGCTGGATTTCCTGTCCCCATTCTTGATTCCCACAACTATTTTGCAATGCATTACTGTATTTTCTTTGTAAAAGAAAAAGAAATGTAAGGCTGATGAAGTTGTTTTCTTCCTCTTTGCATAAAATGGTCATTACTTTTTCCATTTACTCTTCAACCCACAATGGTCTAGGTTCTTATCCAAGGCTTCCACAGGAACTCCTCTTGCTGGGATTACAATGACTTTCCAGTTGTTACATCCAGAGGACATTTTTCAATGATTAACTCACTGGGGACTCTTCTGAACTCTGCCTCAACAATCACATCATGCCTCATTGTTTTTAGAACCACTTCTCTGAGTTACCACTCCCACCCCTGTCTTCCTAGTTCATGTCCTTGCCCTGGTCTGTATATATCTCTGCACATCCTCTTTAGTGGACATGTTCTGTTTGCACAAGCTCACCCACTACCCATAAAACCCCATGGGCAGGAGAGGGATCATTTCCTTGACATCAGTTGGAGATAGATTATTTACGTAGTGGGGATTGTGACTGCTCACATAAATGCTTCAAATCAAAGTGTGTGAGTCTGAGCACATGCAGCCTCTGCAGACCTCTGACTCTGCCTGCCCTGACCTCACCCTACTCTGTTCCTTTTTATTCTTTCTTTTGAGATCTTTCTTTCCACCCAGTTATCCAAACCAGAACTGGAAAGTCGTGTTTGGCATCCCGGCCTTTCCCAATCCATACAGCATGTAGGAGCTGCTATTCTTAGTCCTGCATCTTAAGGTTTTTGTTTCTTCCCACAGACATGGGAAACCTAACATAGGCTGACAGTATCTCTCACCCTGATGCCTGCCAGAGCCCCCTCTAGTCTGTCCCTTTTAAGGCTCAAATGCAGAGAATGTCACCATCAGATCTGAGCTTTAAAACCCTGCTCTTGATACTGCTCTCAGGATAAACTGGAAGCCACTAAGAAAACACTCAAAGCTCACCAGACTCTTGTTTCTATCTGCCTCACCTTGTCTCCCCAATCCTTGCTATTTGTACAAAACTTACGATTCTTCTAAACATGATATGTAGTTAATTCTTTCTCCTGAGTTCAATACTCTGTGCTAGTATCCTCCTCAGGAAGCCTTCTAGGATCCCATAGAGTGGATCAGGTGTTTCTCTTCAGTACTCCAGTATCTCTAGTGGTTCTTTAATTGTATTCAATATTGCCCCATGGTTGTTATTGTATGCATCTTCATTAGTTGACAAAGGATAAGAACTTACTGAATTCCAAGATTTTGCACATAGTAAACTCCTAGGAAATGTTTGTTGAATGAATCAATGAATGAACAATCCAAAATTATCTTGCAAATAAGTTAAGAAACAGGAATCAGAATATGTTCAAAAATCATTGTGCATTCTCAAACCAGTGCTCATTTTACCATTATAATTTGTGCATTGGGGTTTCTAAAGTCCTCAGGGAGTTGAAGTTTAAGAGGCCAATTCCTATTGCAGGATTTCATTTTAAATTCCTATTGCAGGATTTCATTTTAAATCGTTTAAATTGATTTTAATTTTTAGTAGTGCATTCTTGATTCAATAATCAATTTTAAAAGATTAGATAAAGAATCTTGTTCATGTTTTAAATCTCCATTTCCTATTCCTTCTACCTCAAGGTGCCAATCTTGTTAACATATCATGTTGTAGATTTTCTTACTGCAAACTTGCAAATATAAAACTATTATTCTTTACCTTTTGACTTTTAAAATGGTATTTAAAATTGAGGCAAAAGAACTAGGGTGTGGGGTCCTTTAATTCCAGCACTCAGGAGGCAGAGGCAGGTGGGTTGCTGTGAGTTTGAGGTCAGCCTGATCTACAGAGTGAGTTGGGACTGCCAGAGCTACAAAGAGAAACCTGTCTCAGACAACAACAACAAAAAAGAATGAGATGACAGGGCTGGGATGTAGTAGCATAGTGGCAGAGTGCACAAAGCCCTGGGTTCAGTCCCCAGCTTTGTGGAATACAGTCGTTCAGCCCCCAGCTCTGCAGAATACAGTTGTTCAGCCCCCAGCTCTGCAGAATACAGTAGTGATAACATCATTTAACTTCTCCACTTTTCCAGAAGTATGTATTAGCAAACAGCTAATTAGCACTCAGCTTGGATGAATGGACAGAGGCACTTGGCAGAGGATGCTACTTGATGAGTAGGGAAAATATCCTGGATGTTCACTGACTTCTGGGAAGAGCCAGGGCCCTCCACAACTGAACCTGTATGCCCAGGTGTCTCCCTTGGGCAGATGTCTCAAGTTCCCTAGTTATCTTTTCTCTGGAACTCTCACAGGCCGCTCCCCTTGATGCAATATCTGGGTTTGGGCAGAAAGGGTGCTGCAGAGTACGCCCATTCTGAGCATTTGGGCCAACTCCTCTTTCCAGAACAATTCAAGCTTCATTGGAGCTCTGACCTCAGCACCAACTTCTGCTTCCCTAAGCAACATGGCTAGGGTGGACAGAAAGATTCTTTCTGGAATGAAACAGTGTTTCAGGGCAGATTGAGCTTGCCAGAGACCCTCATACCAAACACAGGCCCGCAGTGGTTCCACAAGGATTCTGCACAAGCCCTATCATGTGGATTTTCTGCAGCCTGATCTCATGCTTTCTCACAGGTAAGGATGAAATTACATGCATTCTAAGTCTGGGCCCTGAATATAGGTTAAGAAGGTTACAGTACTTTCCTGGGTTTGGGGTTGAATTAAAATGTTTTGGTTTGGTTGTTTTCGGTGTTTTGTTTGTTTGAGACAGGGTTTCTCTGTGTAATAGTCCTAGCTATTCTGGAACTCTGTAGATCAGGCTGTCTTTGAACTCACAGATCCACCTTCCTCTGCCTCCCCAGTGCTGGGACTAAAGGTTTTTTTTTTTTAAACCTTTTATCACCATCTTCCACATCTCAAATGCCTGCATTCTATTTGGATAATTTTCTCCCAGTATCCACAGACCAATCTAGAAAGATGTCATCAATATAGTTTACAGAAGTCTATACGTGTTGCTATTTATTTCATTTGGTGTTTGAAGGGTTAAAGTATAGTTATAGCAGTCATTTTCCATGTGGCGCTTAAAATGATTAAAAATTCTGACAAACACAAAAGACATAATTTATAAGCTTCATATTGAACATAAGATTTATAAAACTTAGATTTCTCTTGATCATCACAGAAAAAGGTACTTCATACCATCTAAGAGAAGATTTAGTTTGGGGCATTTTCTCTGCTAGTAAGATTATGTAATTTTCTGTGCCACTGCTGGCTCCTTGTAATTGCCTCCTTTATTGTTCCCAAACTGCAGTTCCTTACCAACAAATGCTTCTTAAAGTCAAACTGCATTTAAGAAACATCTAGTGTTAACACTCCAAGATATTGGTTACTTTGTGGTGTCAGTGGGAGCTTCGAGCACTTAAACAACAAATCAGTACTAAGGCAAATTGGAAATCTTGAGCTTACCTGGTAATCCTGGCTTCCAAACCTTCACAGTTCCAAAAGTTGGGAAAAAAAAAAAAAGCAAGCGGTGTCCAAATTCTGCTCGCTTCTCATCTGCATATTCAGGCCTCACTCATATTTATTTGAACCTATATCTCCCTACTTTTAGAAAATAAGTATAGATTGCAGACTACTTGTTGTCTTCACAGTTGATGCATTCTATCCTTGCTTTCTTGCCTTAGCCTTTACTGTTAAAATTCTCTAACAGGGGCTGGTGAGATGGTTTGGTAGGTAAAGTTATTTGTTGCTAAGTCTGATAATTGAGTTCAGTCCTCAAAACCCAGATGGTAGAAGGAAAGAACCAACTTCTTCAGGTTGTCCTCTGACCTCCACAAACTTCCTGTGGCAAATGTGTTGTACTCCCACCCCAAGTTTCTTTCTCTCTCGTGTCTCTGTCTGTCTGTCTGTCTGTCTGTCTGTCTCTGTCTCTGTCTCTCTGTCTCTGTGTGTGTGTGTGTGTATATGTGTGTGTGTGTGTGTGTGTGTGTGTGTGTGTGTGTGTGAGACTAGTTTAGTGGCTGGTCATATAACTTCATTTTCCCCATCTGTGAGATGTGTATAACAGCCACCTTGAAGTCTTGAGGGGTTAAAACAAGACAAATAAGCTTTTAAAGATGTCTACATCCCTGTCTCAAATATTAATTATCCTGATCTTTTGGTAATGCAAATGGTGGTGTGAGAAAATAGTTGTTTTAGCTAAGGTTGCCTTCATGTAATTTTGAGCATTTGCAAGTGCAGAATGACCTTCTATTACTAGATCACTAGGCAGAGGAGTAAAGGTGTCTTGCTTTGTCCCTTCCAAATACTAGGGAGTGATTCGGGAAACATTCTTACTAATAACAATGACAGCCACAACTGCCCCCCCCCAAAAAAAAACTCACTCTCTTCCTTTCTTTCCTTTCTCCCCTGAGATTGAACCTAGGACCTTATGCTGGAGCAGTTGCTCAATTATTGAGCTGTATTCTCAGAGCCCTTGTCTTAGCCCTGGTTTTTGTTTTTGTTGTTGTTTTTTGTTTTCTCTTGTTTCATATGGAGTCTCCCTAAATTTTCTAAGCTGTCTTGAGCTTGCTCTGTAACTCAGGCAGGCCTAGAACTTAGAATTCTCCTGCTTCAGGAGTTGGAATTGCAAGCCTGTGCCACTAGACATAGCTCACATTTCTGAGTATATGTATACTCTAGAGTAGCAATATCTGATCTTCAGACATTTCCCGTCTGTCTGGGCTGGGTGCTGATTAGAGATGAACAGAACTGGCTTCTGTTTACAGTAAACATAAAGCTTACCAGAGAACACACCGACACCAACAACATTAGGGATTTAACACATTTCATACTATTCTTTATCCATCAGAAGTAAAGTCTAAATCAGTGTCCCAGTCTCAAATGAACATTGGAGTCACTGGGGGAGCTTTTATACATGTAACTGCCAAAGCTGCACAGCCAGAGATTCCACATTTGTCTGGGGTGCTGCCTAGGCACTGGAATTTTTGAAACTCCCTGGGTGAGGCTCTTTGGAGAAGTGAATGCTTACAGTACCGGGCAGGAAAATGCAAGATGAGACAGGAGCATCTTGTGGTAAGCAATGAAGTGCTTAAAATAGGATGAGGGCCTAAATCTAGCATAGTGTTTTGGGTTGGATCCCAGGATGGAAAAAGCTGTTAGTGGAAGAATTGGCAGAATCCAAATCAAGTTTAGGATTTTGTTATGGTAATTGACCTACATTGGTCCTACAGCTTTGATAACTGTATCATGGTTACATAAGATGTTAGCGTTGGTTGGAGCTTACATTATCTTTGGAATTTGTAGATCTAAAGTTACTTTTTAAAAGCCCATCGACAAGGTTGAGTGTGGTGATCCATGCATTTAATCTTAGCACTCAGAAGCAGACACAGGTGGATCTCTGATTTTGATGCCAACCAAGGTTACCTAGGTCCTTTCTCAAAAACAAACAAAATATAATACAAGCTGGGTGGTGGTGGTGCACGTTTTTAGTCCCAGCTTTTGGGAGGCAGAGGCAGGTAGATCTCTGAGTGCAAGGCCAGCCTGATCTACAGAGTGAGTTCTAGGACAGCCAGGGCTACTCAGGGAAACCCTGTCTCAAAAATAAATAAATAAAAACACAAAAACGATAACAAAACACTATAAAACAAAGTCAGGTGACAAAAATAGAATGGAAAAAGAAAGGTAGGTGGGTGACAATGAGTCAAATGGATACAAGAATCAACCTGAAAGAATTTTAATAGGACAAAGGGAACAACTAAGTAAAAAATAGTAGCATTGGATTTTAATCATAAAATGAATCAGCTTTGAGTCTATTCAAATAAGTAGATCTCTGAAAACAACGAACAGTGGTGTAGGAATGGCTCTTACAGAACCCCAATTCAATTACAAGAGATTCAGATCATAAGTGCAGTGATGGCTAAAAGAACTACCTACCAACACCTGTCAAAGTTAATGTGTGAAAGGGTGAAAAGGATTTACATACTCTCACATACCTCTCCCAGTATGCTTATTAACTAACAGGTAAATTGGTAGCTTTGCAGGTCAAGATTAGCATCACTGGTAATTACATATATTGACACCATGTCCTTCTGTGACTACAAGGCTAAACGTATATTTTGCAACCGGTTGCTAGGACTTACCCTCTTCTGAAGCACGTAGAAAGAGTACACAGATAGAAATGAGTGCCCTTAGCAAGAATGCATGGTAGACTTTGCCTGAGGATGTTGATGCCCCACTGGTGTACCTCATGGAAGAGGGCCAAGAGGAGCATATTTGGCCTTGGGGATGCGTACCTTCACTGCAGTAGGTACACAACGACACCCTCACTCAACTGGAGTATTCAGCCTCAAACCAGACTCCACTCACCATGGTTGTACTTCATAGGGCAAAGTAGTTGAATTGAAGGATATAATTTGGTGTAACTTGATATTGGGGTTCAAGCTTCAAGCTGAAGATCAGAAAAGCAAAGCAGCCGAGCCACTAGCTCTTACCTCTACCTCAAACTGAAAGGGCTGATTCTGTTTGCTGCCTCTCCCCAGAATCACGCTGGAGAATAAATCTCAGAATGTAGCCTAAGACACTGGGCTCCTGTCTTTTATATACTTCTCTAGGACTGAAATTAAAAGCATGAACTCTAATTCTCTTTTAGACTGATTCACTCTTGTGTAGACCAAGTGGCCTTTAACTCAGAGAGATCCATCTGCCTCTGTCTTATGAGTCCTGGGATTAAGGGTGTGTACCACCAGGGCCTAGCTTGTATGGCTAGCTAGTATGGTTGCTGGGATTAATGATGTGTATCACCATTGCCTGGCCTCTATAGCTTGTGGGTGAATTTGCATCCTGAACCCTCAAGCAAGCTTTATTAAATCACAAATAATATATCACCACAATTTGGAATGTGGGGAACCATGAGTCTTACTATCAGGTCCAAGGCCAAGAGATTTTGCAGCTTGTCTGGAATTAGCCAATGACCAATGCTGACCTGAACACCTCTCTCAGTACTGTAACATAGCTGAGACCTGTCTCCAGTTAAAATGATAAAAGAGACAAACCTAAGACTGATTTCTGGGAAACTAGGATTGTGTGTGTGTGTGTGTGTGTGTGTGTGTGTGTGTGTGTGTATGCTTCATCAACCTTTGAGAAGGAACTGAAATTAGTGTACCATCCTGTCACTCGCAGGCATGTGTCTGAGGGAAGTTTCCCAAGTGTAAGATGGTACTGTAATGACAAAGACATCCAGTAAAACAAGCTACCCTTAAAAAATGTATAACTTCACTCCAATCATAAAAACAGATAGACCCAAACTGAGAACAAAGTTATAAAACAGCCAACCAGTGCTCTTCAGAAATACCAAGGTCATAAAAGCCAAAGATGGATTGAGAACAAATTGGAAGAGACTAACTTGGTATGACAACTACAAGGAGAGTCCTGGACTGGTTCCTGGAAGAAAGAATATAAAGCATGAAAGGTGGAAACGTGAAATTGAATGAGACTGGAGTCAGTGACACTGCAGTGACTCTCTTATTTTACAGTCACACTATGTCTGTGGATGCAAAGAACGATGGGAGAGGGAATACAGAAGCTCCTTCTGCTATTGGGCATCGCTGAAAGTCTGAAAACATTTCCAATGGAACTAAGTTGTCTGCTAAGTTATAGGATTGCAGCATGTTAGCAGTCCCTTCTGGAGGCCATGGGGTCAATCTGTTTCCTTGCCATCCCAAGCCACTAGAGGCCACCCGGGCTCCTTGCTCCTGGCCCCCTTTCATTACCAGCTTGTTACCCTTTGCTTAATTAAGCATTCACCTATTGAGAGACCCTCGGGCCAATACGAGTTCAATTTTGGATAGTCATTTGGACCATACATGGCAGAAGTTTCCATTTCTCTCGGACAAATCCCTAAAATCACAACTCCTAAGTCAGATAGTAATTGCATATTTAATTTTGAAAGAAGCTGCCAAACAATTTTCCAGAATCAATATGCCAGCTTACAAGTCTGCTGGCAGTGTATGAGGGATCCATCTTCTCTGTCCCTTTGCCAGACTTCAGTTTTGTAGCATTAACCACACAGTAGTGGTGTCTCATTTGCATTTCCTCCTTAGCAAATGAATTACACATCTTTATAAACAAATTGTACTTACATGTATGAGTGTTTGGGTGGCATGTGTTCCTAGTGCCCTTGGAAGCTAGAAGAAGGTATTGGAGGCCCTGGAATTGGAGTTGCAATGGTCGTGAGCTGTCATGTGGGTGCTGGGAATTAAACCTGGGTCCTCTGGAAGATCAGTCAGTGCCCTTAACCACTGAGCTATCATACCAACTCCAATTTAAACATCTTTTCATGTGCTTATTGTTCTCTCTGTATTTCTATTAGTGAAATATCTCTTCATGCCTTTTGTTTTATCTTTTAGTAGTTTGATTTCCTGATATTAGATTTTTAAGTGTTCTTCATGTATCCTAGACAGTCATCCTTTGTGAGATAATGGTTAAGATCCAATCTTAAGTTCATTGTTATATAACATGAGAGGTTTAGGTTGAGGTTTATTTCTCCTGTGCAAGCCAAACTGTTCCACTATTGTTTGATTTAAAGTCTATCCTTTTCTCCACTGAATTTCTTTGTATCTTTGTCAAATCAAACGAGTGTATTTGAGTGGATCCGTCTGAGTTTTAGTTATTCTAGTTCATACCCTTTCTTTTCTTTTTTTAAATAATGAAACAGGTCTAGCTCTGTAGCAGCCTGGAACTCATTACACAGCCCACACTTATTTCTAGCTTAATCTTCCTACCTCAGCACTGGACTGCTGAGATTGTGGATGTGAGTGACCATGCCTGACTGTTCCATGGCCTGGGGGTGGGAGAGGGCGTTGCCATGAGTTTGAGACCAGGCCAAGCTACATAATGAGCTCCAGGCCAGCCTTGGCTTTGTAGTGAGAATAAAATGACATCATTTGAAGAAAAATGGATGAAACATGAAACATTACATTGAGCAGGGTAATTGAGACTCAGACACATGTTATTTTTCCTCATATGCAGAGTCTAGGTTTGTTTGTTTATTCATTTTAGTAATAAGACATGAAGGTAGAAGGTTGGCTTTTGTGAAGGACAAGTGGACCACTAGAAGCAGGAAGGGAAACAGAATGGGGTGGGGTGGGTATGATCAAGAATATGCTGTGCACACTTGAGAGGTTTTTGGTTTTTGTTATTTGTTGTTGTTGCTTTTTGGGTTTTCAAAACAGGGTTTCTCTGTGTAGCCCTGCTGTCCTGGAACTCACTCTGTAGACTAGGCTGACAAACTCACAGAAACCTGCCTGCCTCTACCTCTGAATGCTGGGATTAAAGGTGTGTGCTACCACCACCCAGCAGACATTTGAGTGTTTTATACAATGAGCATAAGCTAATAGCAAAATTACAAACTGAAAAAAGAAAACAAAAATAAGGAAGTTAGGGCTGGAAAGCCAAGAAACCCCCGCTATGGGTGTCCCAGGTCTTTTCTTTCAGGCAGAGATTAAGGATGAGATGAAGGTTCATCACCAGGGTCCTGTGTTAGATAGGAGGCAAGGCAAAGCATTCAGCCAGACACCATGTTTCAGGAGGTGCCCTTCTCTGTCATGTGCACAAGACTTGATGCCTGATAACAAACAGCAGGTGCCAATCTGGAGGCAGAAACAGAAAGGTCCTAGGTAAAGGCCCCAGCTGTCGTTCTGTCTGCCTTGACATTGATACCATCACTGTGTGTGACGGTAAGAACAGAGGAGCAGGTGCTTGGCACTAAAGGAGAGCATGTGAAAAAAGAATGACTGCAGAGTGTACCCAAGGGTTGCATGCAAGGCTGAGCTTTGGGCCTCCTCAAGCCCTTATCAGTGCAGGTGAGGCTTTGCTGGCCAGTTTTGTTCTTGCAAACTGTAGTACCACTGTGTGCGTACTCTGGACACATGGCCTTTATCCATGTGAGCAGTTTCCTGTGCCCCACGTTGGGTTCTTGGGCCTGCAGTTTTCCCCGGGGGAGTCTCTGAGTTGTTCTATGTTCTAGTAGACCTGAGTCAGCTTTCCACCTGGCTGCTGATGCCCCATTCCATTTGGCTTTGTTGGTCACAAATTAATGTGTTCTGGTGCCCAAGGATGGCAGGAGCTGGAGAGAGACGTGATGAGAAACTGCCTAGCCCCTGAGTGGATTTGCCATAATGAAGTGGGAGGCTCAGGTTATTGAGGTTGCATAAGATAACATAGTCCAGGGCTGAGTCAAAGCCTGAATCCAGGTCAGTCTGGCATCAAGGCTATCATCTAGACTCTGTAAGGAACTCAATAGTAAGTCAGTTAATAAACTGATTGAAAATGGACAGTAAAATTAGACATTTCTCAAAAGTACATGATACCAATGACCAGCAAGAATGGGAAGCAATGTTCAGCATCATTAATCATCCCACTGAAATAAACCAAATAAGATTATCACCTTATTCCAGACTTGGAATGTAGTTCAATAGGAGAACACTTACTTTAAAAGTGTAAGCCCCTGGGACTTCATCCCCAGGACAACAGTAAACGTGATTTTCATTAAAAAGTTAAAAATAACAAGCCAAATGCTGGTACACACTATTACTGAGAATGTAAGCTATTATAATCCTTATGGAAAGCAGTGTGGAGCTTCCACAGAAAGTCCAAAGTGCAGCTATCATATGACTTGGCTATCTCACTACTGGTTATATAATACATCCAAAGGAAAATTAAATAACTATGTTGAGACATCTGCTGCACTGTTTATAGAAGCCAAGACGTGGAAATAACCTAAATGTCCATCAACTGATAAATAGATAAAAGTAACTATACACAATGGGATGTTTTTCAGCCATAAAAGGCAGACATGGGTGATCTGGAAGATATTATGTTAAATGAAATAAACAAGGCACAGAAAGACAAATATCACATAGTCTCACTCATAGGTGGAACATCAAAGGGTTGGCCCCATGTATGTTTAGAAAGAAATGACAATGGCAACTCGAGGCTGGAAAGAACAGTAGGTACAGAGGGAGGACAGTGGGTACAGACAGAGGACAGGGCAAAGATAGGTTTACAGCTGCTAAGTTATAGTTAGATAGCAGAGTGCATGCTGGTGTCCTATTGCACAGAAGACTAACTACAGAGGAAAAATATTTCAAAAGGCCCAGAACATAGGATATTTGAAGGCGTTGTGTTAAAAAGAAATATAAATGTTTGAGATAGATAGGCTTGCTTTTACTTGAAGTAACATATTGCATACATTGCATACATGTACCACATACATACCCATAAATAGAATGGGTACTTTTTTATATGTTCATTAAAATAAATAGGGCCAGTGAGATGGCTTACCAAATAAAGATGTTTTCAAGAAAACCTGATGGCCCAGGTTTGAACCTGATTCCCACTGGTGGAAGAATAGGACCCTTAAGTTGTCCTCTGACATCAGTATATACACCATGGCATATGTACATCCATATTCATATACATACACATCATGCATACACACTAAAATAAAATTATAAAATGAAAAACATCCATGAACAAATTAATAACATGCCTCTGCTTTGTTTATTTATATAATGGAAAAAATAATGGTCCTTATACTCAGTAGGGTCATACGGTGTACATCTTTAATTCTAACACTTGGGATACAGACAAGTGGATCTCTAAGTTCAAAGCTAGCCTGGTCTACAGAAGGAATTCCATGATAGCCAGGACTACACAAAGAAACCCTGTCTTGAAAAACAAACAACAACAACAAAAAACGAGAGGAAAGAAAAGAAGAAAATTAAATGGGCTAATTGTGTAACAATCTAGCAATGACCTATTTAGAATATGAGCGAGGTTTGCTAAAACTGAGCTGTTATTAATACAAATATGCCCTGCTGTCATAAGGCATCACTAAACTAAGGAGAGTAAAATTTAGCACTTGCACAAGTGTGATAAATATGAAGCTATGCCAGCTCTCACTGTCACTCAGAGGTCAACTTCTTTCTTAATTTCATCCCAGGTGGAGTGGCTGTTCTGCCTGCCCCACAGAACTTAACTGTACTGTCAATCAACATGAAACATCTCTTGATGTGGAACCCAGTGGCCCAGCCCAGAGAGCCAGTGCTCTATTCTGTGGAGTACCAGGGGTGAGTTTGCCTTGTTTAATAATTTTTCTCCTTTAGACAACATACCAGAAAGGGATAGATAGCCCTTCTTTCTGTGCTCCAGGAAGCTTTGAGAACCAAGAATAGATGTTCTTCCCAGCCCACCCCTTGGTGTGAATGTGTATGGGAGGACCAAATACAGTTTGCTGCACCTGTTTTCAACAGTAAGCCTGGTGAGCTTGGGCCTGATTTGGAATGGACAAATCTGGAGAGCCACTCCTTTGGGGTACAGAAGGCCACAGTTTTCTTGACTATGAGCATATATCTGGAAGCCCACACAAGGTCAACTCACCCAGGGCTGAGCCTGGTTTTAATTTACTCCAGCTGTCTAGGCACTTGCAGTCACTGAGAAGTGGCTGGTGGAGTTGGTGCTCAACATATTTCATTAGCAACGAGCACAGACAGAGCCCTACATGTGTGGACATTGTTCTAGACTCTAGTACTTCTACTTAAAACAGGGAAGCTAGCTTCTAGAACAGCATGGGTCATGACCCCTTGGCTTGTAAGTCATAATAGTAGCAAATGTACAGTTATGAAGTAGCAACAAAATAGCTTTCTGGTTGGGGTCAACTACAACATAAGGGAGCGTGTTAAAGGGTTGCAGCATTAGGAAGGTTGAGAACCACTGGACTAGAGTAAGAGATACTGAATACACTGAGAGCCACTGGACTAGAAGAAGAGATACTGAATACACTGAGAGCCACTAGACTAGAGGAAGAGATACTGAATACACTGAGAGCCACTGGACTAGAGTAAGAGATACTGAATACACTGAGAGCCACTGGACTAGAAGAAGAGATACTGAATACACTGAGAGCCACTGGACTAGAGGAAGAGATACTGAATACACTGAGAGACACTGGACTAGAGTAAGAGATACTGAATACACTGAGAGCCACTGGACTAGAAGAAGAGATACTGAATGCACTGAGAGCCACTGGACTAGAAGAAGAGATACTGAATGCACTGGGTGTATGTTCCTCAGTTTTGCAGCCACCAATTAAAAGCAGCTATTTAAGTTTAAATTCAATTGAAACATGTTTTGAGTTCATTCTTCATTTTCCACGTGCTCTGTAGCCACAGATGGCCAGTGACTACGTCCTCTGAACAACAGAATGTAAAACCTTTCCATCATCACAAGCAGTGATTGGGCAGCAGAGCTCTGAGCCAGATGCAGGGTTTTGAGTCCTAGTAGGAAGCTGTGAAGGCTGATGCATTGGAGTTGAGTTTGCAGCTCCTTTGTCCTAGGTGGTAGCCTCTGGAGGACATGATATTTATACCCTACCTGTGGGATAGCAGAGGCAGAACATTTGAGACCGTGACTGTCTAGTCGGAGGCCCAAGGCTAAAAGAGACCAGCATTTTAAAGGAGAGAGTCACAGGTCAGTAGAGTAAAAGCAGCATCCTCAGGGGCAGGATGGGAGAAGGCCAGAGTCTCACAGGAAGCCATTAGGTACATAAACATCATGATCTGCTGTGTGGAGTTTTTGAAGGATGGGACCTCCACAGCAGAGTGAGGAGATTGGAAAACCACAGCAAACAAAGCATGATGGTGCCTGAGGTGAGGGTGGTGAGTGTGGACAGGTTTAGGCTTATGCAAAGGTTCCTGAGGAATAAATGAGAGTGATGGCTAGGGTGGGAAGCAAGTAGAGGATCTGGAGTCAGGGAGAGGAGACTTATTCTGCTGACCCACAAAGGCAGAACCAAGGCAGTTACATTCATCTTTGAGTCTGCCTCAAAGGATATGATATAATTCTGTGTCTTCTTCTCCTTGGCCAGGGAGTACGAGAGCCTGTACATGAGCCACATCTGGATCCCCAGCAGCCGGTGCTCACCTACCAACAGTCTGGAATGTGATGTCACTGATGACATCACTGCCACAGTACCATATAACTTCAGGGTCAGGGCCTTGCTGGGCTCACAGACTTCAGCCTGGAGCACCCTGGAGCGCCCCTTTAATCGAAACTCAAGTAAGACACTCCCCTCTCACCCTTGCAGGAACTACCTTTACTTAGATGTTCAGCATCAAGTTAACTGTCGTACTTGTAAACACAACCCACCCTTACTGACATGCTTGTAAAATTGCCGAACTCATGTGCTGTCTTTCTCCTCCCCCACTCTGGAAGTCAGTCCTTGTTAGGGTCTACAGGTATTGAAGCTGTAGCGTTGGCACTAGGCTTCTTATTCTGATCATGCCTCCATACATCTCTCCCATCTGGAGCCTCTATACCACTGCCCATCCAGTCCTCACCTCATTCCCCCCATACAGCTGAGAGCAGCTTGGTTGTTTAAAAACATCTGTATATTTAACAGCTACTAGAGACCTTTCCTCTCTATGGTTGCTGGCAAGTAACTTTTCTGTTGCAATTATAATTGGAAAATGATTGAAAGGGAAGAGAGGAATCCAGGTAAGTGGACAAATGCCATGGCTAGAGTGTAAAAGTGTGTGTGTGTTTGGAATGAGGTGAGGACTGGATGGGCAGTGGTATAGAGAAGCAACTGGCCCTATAGTGAAGCTTGATTAAGTCAGTCGATGGGAGCAACGAGAGAAGAAAGAGTCTGGGCCATGTCTTTCTTACAGAGCAAACACTATGGCCACCGGGAGAAAAGTGACCTAGAGTAGGGTAAGCCTGCAGGGCAGAGGAACAATGACAAGGGAATTGTTACCCTCAGCTAAGTGGTTCTTGTCTGTAGAAGAGCAGAGTAGATGGGGTGTGTGTGTGCTGGCTAGTCTTATGTCAGCTTGACACAAGCTGGAGTTCTCTGAAAGGAGGGAACCTCAATTGAGAAAGTGCATCCATAAGATTCAGCTGTAAGGCATTTTCTTATTGGTGATTGATTGGGGAGGACCCACCTATTGTGGGTGGCACCCACCCTGGGCTGTTGGCCCTGGGTTCTACAAGAAAGCAGGCTGAGCAAGCCATGGGAAGCAGGCCAATAAGCAGCACCCCGCCATTGCCTCTGCATCAGCTCCTGCCTCCTGGTTCCAGTCCTGCTGGAGTTTCTGTCCTGACTTCCTTTAGTGATGAACAGTGATAGTATAAGCTGAGTAAACTCTTTCCTCCCCAGCTTGCTTTCTGGTTATGGTCTTTCATTGCAGCCATAGAAACCCTAATGAAGACAGGGGAGTGGATGAATTCAGGAGACATGACTGCATTTAAAATGGACAGAGCTTGGGGACCAGTTATTGGGGATGGAGTAGGAAGACCACCTGGGTGGGTGAGAACACTGTCGAAGGCAGAGGACCCAAGAGGAGAAACAGATCTTGAAGAACAGGAAACACTCTGTCTATGAGTTTTTAGAGCTCAGGTTCCTGCAACATGGCATGCTGTGGGTGTCTGACAAGCAGCTGGACATCAGGCCTTGGGACCCTTGGGGGTGAAAGCAAACACACAACACAAAGTTACTAGCTATCGGCCTGGAAATAGATGTGAATGTCCAGGGACAAGGTAGGGAGAATGAAGAGAATCCAGGACAGGGTCCCAGAAACCTCAAGGTCTAAAATGTAGACAGAGGACAACTGTGAGGAGGTGACTGGGTAGGTGGAAGGAGCAGGAAGCTCCTGATAAGCTTGGGTGGGGGTCCCTGGATGGTGCTTGAGAAAGCGATGGTGGTTTGTAACTGCCACACATAGAGGACAGAGAGGAGGTGGGAAGGGGCAGCTCCTTGTCTAAGGTGGGATGGGAGGGATGCCAGGAGTTTGGTGCTGGGAGGGGCAGGGCCCTCGGTGGCCCATTTTCTTCATGTGACAGAAGATCTGCTTGAAGTGAGGGCTCAGGAACATTAGGTCCCAGTATCCAGTAACGGGGTCCGTCAAGTTACTGAGGACAGAGGCTGCTGAGTAAGGTCACGAGGATTTAGATGGTGAGGGCTCCCAAACTGACCCTTAGGAATTATGAGGGCTGCTTCAAATCCAACTTGGAACTTGAGAGCTGTGTGCATGCACCATTTTGCCTCATGGGATAGTCGAGGGGACCACATGAAGTGAAACGTGTCGATGCTCAACGCAGTCCAGTCTTACCACGGCACTCAACTTTTGTTAATATTAGTATTGTTGCCCTGGGGATGCTGGAGCTGAGAGCCAGGGAGCAGAGGAGAAGCCCAGGACTGTTGGAACGGGATTCCAGGGAGGCTTTAGTTGCAAAATGTGAACTTCTCCGCTAGGCATCTTTCCCAGGCGCTGGGAAGACATGGCTGACGTGGCAGGACCCGGGGCAGGCACCTGGAGGCTAAGGGACACTGGTGAACACTGCAGCTCTCCCTGTGCCCGCAGAGTTCAGGTAGCTCCCAGCTCTACTTCCTTTGGCACCTGGGAGCCTGGGGCTCCAGCCAAGAACTTCACTGGGGTCTGGCAACTCTTGCTGGAAGGAAGGCCAGGTCAGATGGAGATCAGGGAGTGCCAACAGTTATTTGGGAGGGGCTGGGCAGTCAAATTTGTGCTTCTCAAGAGGCCAGCATCAACAGGAAAAGGCCTCGCTGCAGGGGAATCTGAGGGATAGGAGTTTGCAGGTGTTGAAGAAGGTAGAACCTCTCTCAAGAATCCTGTGGGCATCGTGGATAGTGGAGTCAGTGGCCTAGCTGGAGTGGCTCTGGACACTCCCCCTACACACACACCTTGGTTTTTCAAGACAGGGTTTCTCTGTGCAGCCCTGCCTATCCCGGAACTCACTCTGTAAACCAGGCTGGCCTTGAACTCACAAAGATTGGCCTGCCTCTGCCTCTCATGTGCTGGGGTTAGAGGTGTATACCACCATCCCCTGACTAGCACTGAATTTATTAAGAGCCCCCCACTTCCCTTTTCCGTTTGAGAGGCCCACTCTGACCCTTGAAAAATTGTGTCTTAATGTTCTTCCATGGAGCGCTCCTGTTCTTAAGCTTATTGAATGTGGACATTCTTAACCTTGATTTTATATTATAATCATATGGAGCTTCAAGGCCACCTGTCTGGGGTCCTTCCAGGGGTGTCTGATTTAAATGATGTGTTGTTGTCATGTGCAGCCAGAGTTGTGATTCTCCACAGCAGCAGATGGACACCTCACACAGGGGAGGCTGGAAACGGAAACTGACATGGGCTTTAATTCTGGCTGTTAGCTCTGTGACTCTGGGCAACTCCCTTAACATCTCTGTGCCACAAGAGTAAGATTTACCTTCTGAAGTTTCTGGCTGGATCAAGTGAGAGAAGTATAGAGTGTAGGACAGAGATTTCTGCCCTAGTGCTGAATGAAGGAAAAAGAAAGAGAAAAGAAAATTCTCTAAATTGAAATTTCAGGTCATTTTGTCTATCAAAAAAAATGACAACCAGAGGCTCAGATTCCAATAATATGTGACTTAAAAATGGGGGAGGTGGACCTTCTTGGTCTGCAGGTGTCACAGAGGCAGTGGTGCTGTGTCTGGACGAGCTACATTTGCGCAGGTGGCCTGACTTCCCAAGTCCTCTTGTCCCTTCCAGGTACAGCTCACCAAACCCAGGGGTATTTTCTCCAGTGAGAATGGTAAGGGAAAAATACTTTGCTCTCTGAATGTCCCACCTAGGAACTGCCCTTCTCCACGTCCCTTGGCCCCAGGCTAGAGGGATTTAGCCCATGAGGCATCCCATCCTACTTCCCAAACGAATCGGCACACTGGCCCCCTGGTCCTGCAATTTCTAGATTGATATCGAGGGAGGGGAGGCAACCTGTGTGGGGCCTTCTGTTCTTGGCCTCTTGGTAGGTAAGTGTCCCCAGGGCCTGCCGGTCTCTCTGTTTGGGAACCTGCAAAGTGAGGATGGATGGTGTTTGTAATTTCTAGAACTGATTTGCGTAAGTTTGTAAGAAGCTTCTGACTTGCTGACAGTTTTTATGTGACATGAAGAATGCTAGGGCCAAGAACTGAGGGGCCAAGTCACCCGAGATGCTGATTTGCTGATGTCTGCAAGGCACGCTATATCAGTATTTACTAATGCTCTGTGTGGGCACTAGGAATGCTGTGGTTGACCCTGCCAGGTAGGTCCATTCCCAAGGGACGAAGACCAGGCCAGCTGTGCCCAGAGGAGTCCAGAGTCAGGCAGGTGTTCAGCAAGCATTAATGAACAGTGTCTGATCACTGGATGCAAAGGTGAAGAGCAGTGGGATAGCGGTGGGGAGAGGAGACAGCATGAACTTTGAACGGGAGGGTGGTGTTTACCTGAGTCCTTCATCCTTTCCCTTGAGCCTATGCTCCTGGAGAAGGGACAGATGACTTTGGAATAAAAAATGAATTGTAGTAAGTCTCTACCATTTGTTTTCCCTCAGTCATCATTCAAAAAGCATTTTATGAGGGCCACCAAGATGGCTCAGCGAGCAAAGGCACTTGCTGCCAAGCATGATGACCTGAGTTTGATTCCCAGGACCTACCTGGTGGAAAGAGAAAAACGGCCTCTATGTTTTATAGGAAAGTGTGTGCATATGTGCATGTGCACACACAATTTTTGAAAACATGTTTTTTTTTAAATTTACTTTTATTTAATGTGCATTGGTATCCGATGCCCTGGAACTGGAGTTGCAGACAGTTGTGAGCTGCCGTGTGGGTGCTGGAAACTGAACCAGGGCCCTCTGCAAGAGCAGTCAGTGCTCTTAACCGCTGAGCCGTCTCTCCAGCCCCAAAGACATGTTTTAATAAAAATAGAATTTAAAAAGAACTTCATGAGCCTCCATGGAGTGTAGGAGAGTGCTCATGTACATGATTCCATCACTACTACCCGTCAGTAGACCTCTCCCTTGCCCGCAGGGCTGCCATGTGTCCGCTGATGACTTCATCATTTTACCCCAAGACAATCAGTTCTGTCCGGATCTGGCTTTGATTCTTCTTTCTCATCAACAGCTGTCCTCATGGCACCCAGGATGGAGGTCACTGAACATGGCTTGCATCTGGTTGTTAAGCTGGAAGACCCAGGGCCACAGTTTGAGTTCCTTGTGGTCTACTGGAGGAGGGAGCCTGGCGCCACGGTGAGGCTTCCCACTGACCCTGGCCTTAGAGTCAGGCCTTAGAGGAACACAGCTTTCTGGGGATGAGGGACTCAAGTTTGGCTTTGTAGTGCTCATGGCATAAATGGCCCGATCTGGGTGAAGTGTGAAAGGGAGAGATGAGAGAACTCTGCCTCAAAGACATAACCTTTAACCTTTGTTCATCCTAGGCCTTGGCAGGACACCCGAGCCCTTTTTAGGCCAGGTCTACTGAAGTCTGGGGAGCTGCTTGTCTCTCTCTGATGCCCCACCTCACTGGACCCCCTAATGCCTTTTTGATGCATTTGTTTTTTCTCCTTCACCAGCTAGTCTCAGACACTTAGGGGCAGCAGGCCAGGATGTTCCAGCTCAGGGTGTTCCGGATGATTTCAAAAGCGCAGAAGGTGGGCGCGAACTTCTCGAGGGTGTGTGTCTTGGCAGAGTGGAGATGTGGGGCAGCGAGCCAGGAACTGGCTTATGAAGAAGCCTATCTAATTATGATCGGGTGGGTCGTGCAGAAGCCTGGAAGGGAGCTGCCCTTCCCCATAGGGAGGTTGCTGTAGTCCGGGTGAGTGGGAGGCAGGCCCTCGTGGAAGGATGGTCAGCTAAACCACAGTAGCAGCAGCAGCAGCAGGGTGAAGCTCTAGCAGACACAGGGGACACCACTTCCTGTGTAGTCCTGTTTAAACTGATATAATGACAAGGTCTAGTGACCCACTCCAGTAGACACAGGGAAAGCTAGTTTTCTCAGAAGTATCAATATGGGCAACAGAGACTCTCGCTAAATCCATGAGCAGAACCAGCACAGGACCAGGCAGAGGTATAGTCTTAACTGCTTGGGGACCCTGGCCTGTGGAAGCCTTGCTGGTCCTATACAAACTCATGACCGTGCCTCCTTGAAGGCATCTCAGACAGGCCCTTCTCACACAGTCTTCTCCCTTTACCCTCCTATCCAGCCTGAGGTATCCAGTTTCCCAAGAGCAAATCCTCCAGGGATGAATACCATTGCTTGTGCTCATGAGTTTAAGCTGTGTGGGTTTCAGGCAGCCAGCTGAGCTCTGTGGGTACCCTTCTCAGAGTGGGGTGCTCAGAGTCACAGAGCAATGTCTGGGGGCTGTGCACATGTTCCTGTGAACCCTCAGTTGAGTGGGGTAGTGATCCTTGGAACATGGTGTGGCCAGGTGGGACAGGCTGTTGGCCAGTGTTGACCCTGCTGGGTCAGGACACACTGGTAGGACAGGGCATTGCCAGCCAGGCAGATGGAACCGGGTGGGAGAAAGGCTGTAGCTTGGCAGGAAGGAGCATGTATCAACTTCACATTCTTTGGGGGCGGGAGTCTCTTCTCCACCCTTGTAACTGGGAGGCTCACTGCTGAGTGTGTGCCCTGAGTCATCTGGGCTGGGTCATACAAGCGTCCACAGGTTCCTCTGCAGGCCTGGGGCCTAGAGTTGGCGTTGAAGGATGGGGAGACAGGTGGATGGGCTCCCCTCAAATGTTACCCTGCTGGAGAGGCTGCTTCTAAACCCCTGGTTAGCCTCGTTCCCCCTCGCCACTCTCTCTGCCTTGCCCTGCTTTCTCTTCACAGCCCTAATCATTACATGGGATGTATTTACGTAATATTTCTCTTCCACACGCAAGCTCCCATGCTGGGGTGCCCATGTCCATAGTACAGGCTTACTAAATACGAGTGGATGATGAGGAAATGAATGCATCCATGTACGAGTGAGAAGGGTTGTTCTCTGTGTTCTGGGAAAGAACTGTCTGCCCTTTCTCCTGCCCATCTCTCTCCACTGTATTTAGCTTTGCTGCCCTTAGTCAGTAACTGTATTTTGATTTCTTAAAGGAACATGTTAAGGTGGTGAAGAGTAGGGACACGCCAGTGCACATAGAAACCATGGAACCAGGGGCCATGTACTGTGTGAAGGCGCAGGCGTGGGTGAAGGCCATTGGGAGGCACAGCACCTTCAGCCAGACTCAGTGTGTGGAGATGCAAGGTAAGGATAACTGCCTGCCCCTGGGTCCCAGCGCTTGACAGCCCTACCAATGGTTCCAGTTCTTTCCCTGGCTTTACATATTTGCTTCCAGGTTTGGTGGGTTCTGAGGTAAACTCTAGTTCTTCCCAGCAGTAAGGGCCCACCCTGGGGGCTGGGTGGGATTTCTTGAGCAGTTGTCTGGAGCACTTTCTCCCAAAGCCTCTCCATCCTGGGCACATGGTACAGGCTAGCTTGCCAGAGGCTATTTCCTGTGGGGCAGAGATGACTGTAAAAGAGTTAGGTCTAGGAAGGAGGCAGCGCACTATGTAACAATATCACAGCTTCCTCTGTCTGGAAGGGATCTTACAGTCTATAGAATCTCTTTTTTGACTAAAATTTTTCATTGAATTAAAACAATTAAAAATTGGTGTGTGTACATGCGTATAGGTGTATATATGTACTTATGCAAGTGTGGGTGTCAAGGACAGACACTGATATTAGTCATCTTCCTGGACTCCTATGCACATTATTTTATGAGGCAGCCTCTCTCCCTGAATGGAGCGTACTGACCAGCAAGCTCTGTGACTCCCAAGCTCCAGGATTACAGGTGTACATCACCACTCCTGGCTTTCATGTGGGTGCTGTGGGCCCGAACCCAGGTCCTCATGCTTGCATTACAGCCACTTGACTGACTGGGACATCTCCCTAGACCTTTTAGTTTTTTTGTGATCTGAAGAAACCTACAGTAATGTAAAACTCTTTGAAAAGAAGCAAAACCTTACATCCTATGATCCCACCATGCAAATACCACTAGTTACTTTTCAGCATAACTTCTTGGATGTAAAAAAATTACTATTTTGAATAAAGAGTCTATTCATGTGGTCCAGAATACATAACGTGCATGTAAGTTATCTTTTTCTGTCTCTTCTCCATTCACACGGTTCCTGCATCTTTTCCCTTCAATGCAAGTTTCTTATACATTCTTCTGGAGACTTTTAAACTCATATACATGTAAATGAGGACATGTATATGTGAGTATGTACATAAATATCATCTTTTGGGCAAAAGTGATACCATATACACTGTTCTGAATCTTGTTTTTATGTATCTTGTAGATGTTTCCAAACGATAGAGAAATTCCATCATCACTTCTTTATTACCAAATGCTATTCCACTTGTGAGTATGTGTGTGCTGGCTAATTTAACTGATCTGTATTGATGGGCTTGGATTCCCTACCCCCAAATACTTTGCTATTGCAATTAATGCATTCATTTCCTTGTACATAGATCACTTTTGCCACGTGTGCGCGTGTTCTCTCTCTCTCTCTCTCTCTCTCTCTCTCTCACACACACACACACAATTCACACTTGAAAGATAAATCCCTGGAAGTAAAGTAGCTTGGTCAAAAGACACACATTTAGCTTTGACACTGTTGTAAAATCGCCCTCCATAGAATTGTGACCCTCAGTTGTTATTCATGAGAAGATACACAGTAACTCTATGTGACACATATGTTATATATACCTGGCTTATTCATTTTTTTCCGTCACAAATACACTCATAACATTTTCCACTCATTCTTTCTGAGTAATATTTCTTGGTACTTAAAAATTATATGCCAAGCTTATGAAAAGTCCAAATAATACAGATCTATATGAGTTAAATATGCTGTCCTTCTCCATGCTTCTCAAGAGAATTGCTGTGACAGTTTGGATGTAGAATGTCCCCCATGGGCTCATGTGTTTGAACAGTTGGTCCCTGGCTAGTGGCACTATTTGGGGGTATGGAGAGCCTTTGGGAGGTGGGTCTAGCTGGAGAAAGTGCATCTCGGGGAGGTAGACCTTGAGGTTTAAATCTCAACCCTACTTCCTGTCCTGTTTCCTGAGCCATGGGGATGTAAGCATACAGTTTCCTGATCCGGGACAGAATACGTTCTTGGAGCACGAGAGAAAATGAACTTTTCCTCTGGGTGCTTCTTGTCAGGAATTTGATCACAACACCAAGGAAAGTCACAGATATGTCTGTGCTGGCAAATCCTTCATTTCCTCTTCCACTGTCGTCTGTAGAATCCAGTGCTTCCTCAACACAGGGCCCCAAGTGCTCCCACTCTCTACCTGGATCAGCTCACAGTGTCAGTGTGGGTCTGCCTTACTTTGTTTCCCCTTTGAAACAGGGTCTTACTATGTATTCCTGGCTGTCCTGAAACTTACTCTGTAGAGCAGGCTGGCCTTGAACTCAGAGACCCACCTATGCTTAGATTTAAGGCGTGTGTCACTGTCCCTAGCTTGCCATTACCTTTTAAAGACACACAGTAAGCCAACATATACAAGTATGTCCTCACTGATGGCAATACTATGTACTTTCCTAACTTTCTCCGTTATTGGTCAAACTGTGATATGTCTATCCCTTTTCTCCTTTTAACAGCTGTTTTGCTAACCTACCATGCCAATGTTCCGTAATATCTTAGGTCAGTCCCTTTTGTTTAGCATTTAAATCACTCCTATTTGCTCTGGAAGATGTGGTTCTTCCTTCTATTAAATAAGGGTTTGCAGAGCACTGACTACATGCCATGTCCTGGCCTGTACACTGGGGCAGAGAAGGGAGTCCCTGCCTCCAGCTGCAGAGACAGACAGCAGGATAATGCGCTTATGAGTCGCTGCCCAGCGTGTGTGGAGCGTGCTGTGAGGAGAGTCATGAGTGACAGTGGACCACTGGGCAGAAGACTGGTGACAGCCTGTGGCTCTGGTCTGGACATTCCTGTGAACTGACTGATGCACACATCTATTTCCTTCTTGGAACTATTTTCCGAAACGGACATCACAGGAGTCCATTGGAAGGGCATTAACATTGTTCATTTCTTAATATCTACTGCCAAAATATTTCCCAAAAGTGAAACAATGCACATGCCCCACCCCACATGCCACAGACACATGGGCCAAGTCACCCCTGACATTGTGTGTGAATGGTCCAGGCAGGAAGTGATAAACGGTTGCATGTGGTTAGATAACACAGAGAGGGGAAAAACTAGCTCATCCCCTCCTCTGCATCTCCAGATACTCAGACCTGGTGCTTCTTGTTAATTTGTTAGCAAACTCATCATGGACTTTGGAGGTAGCCCTAGCTGTTCATCCTGGGGTAGGCCATTAAACCATCTCGAGCATAAATAATGCCATCTTCTATGAAGGGATACTCACTGTGAGGGGCAGGGACCTAGAACTTAGCAGGATGCTGGGAAAGGGAAGCAGACCAAACGTGTAACAGAGGCTTGATCTGTCATTTTAATGTGACTGTTTGGGGACTTAATATTTTCATCCATCATAGGAGCCAATGCCAAGAGCAAATTGTGAAACACTTTGGTTTTGGTTTCCGCCCAGCCCTGTTCTGGGCTGTTCTGCTCCAACACCTCCCCCTCATCCTGCCTGGGGCCTGGCAGCCTGCCTTCTTCTGGCAGTGGTGCCAGGTACATGCTGCCATGGGCAATGCCTTACATTCCTCCCTCCCCTTCCCAAGATAGAGATGGTAATCCTCTGTGCGACTTTCTGGAAAACTGTACTTTAATTGAGATTCTAGGAGAATGGTGGTAACTGCAGCCATTTGGAGGACACACCAAATGCTGGCACCTGCCGTCTTGGCCTGAGAACGCTCTAAGGAACCCTCAGAGGTGTGGTGTGGGACTGGTGGTTCCCCTCCCTGCTGTTCCCAAGCCGTCTCCTCTGCTTTGTTCACAGGAGAGCCTCTCCCGCTGGCACTGGCTCTGTTCGCATTTGTTGCCTTCTTGCTGGTTCTCATGGTTGTACTGCTCTCCGTCTGGAAGATGGGCCAGCTGCTCCAGTACTCTTGCTGCCCCACTGTGGTCCTCCCAGACACCTTGGTAAGAGCATTCTTTTAACTTTCAGTGTGACACCGCCCAGAGGCATCATGGGCCTTAGCTGGGCATAGGCACATTTTTCATGGTTTATGAAGATAGGCAGAGAGAGGAAAAATTGCTAATGGGACTTCACTTGTGCTAGGCTGTGCTGCTGTAATAGAACACCACACACTAGGTAGTTTATAGAGAATAGAAGTTCATTGGCCTCTGGGGGCTGGGGGTGGTGGAATGAAGATTGTAGGGCCGTATGTTCTTGTAACATGGCTGAAGCTGTCACCGAAGTCATTGAACAAGTTATCACCATGCGGCCCACGGCCCTTATAGCCCACATTCACGAAGCCGAGGCCTTTGCATCCTCCTCACGTCCCACACTTCCTGCCCCACCGCTTTTACACTGGGGATTTGTTTCCAGCCTGTGGTTTTTGGGGGATTTGCTCAGGTCACAGCAACCCCTAATCAGAAGGTCTGGGTGCGTCCTCCCTTTTCCAGGGTATAGTAACCTCCCTGAGGCTCTGACCGGCCATTCTGCTTTCCCATAGCACCTGGCATTACCAAGAGGGTGACTATGTTGCTCAGCCTAGGGTGCTTAGCCATACGCTTTGCAGTCTTGTCTTCCAAAGCGCCTTCCGAGCTCCCTCAGCTCCCCCACTCGTAACAGCAGCTACAGCCAAGAGCAGGTTCTGACTCAACATACTCAGTCTGTATGCCAAGAGTCTCATGCCTGCACGTTTAAGATCATGTGGCGTGGAATATGCTTTGCCTTGGTTAGGTGTGGAATGGGCAAGGGCAACCTTCATAGTGACTGCTCAAGATGCTGTCTTCTCAGTGATCCCCACCCCCCAAGCCCAGGATGCTTCTCTTACTCTTGAAAACAATGGCCCATGGCTCTGAGCCTCTCTGCAGGTGCCCTGGACAGGGAAGATCAGGGCAGGTCCCAGCATCTCACACATGTTCCAGCTGTGGCTCTTCAGAGTCCCCCTGGATCTCAACCACAACACAATCAAAGAGAGAAAGAACCAACAGGAACCAGAGCAACCCCCTCCACCCCTGTCACCCTCAAGGTGTCACAGTTCTCTTCTGGTGGGGAGTTAGCTGTCAGTTGCTCTAGAGCCATCAGAACCAGATCTGTCTGTAGTCAACATACTGCTGGAGTTCCCTAACAGTCTGCAGTTACAGTGACGGCACTCTTGTAACATCTCTGTGGTTTGTTCTTGCCTCTCCCTTTAACCCGTCTTCAGGATGCCCTGCCATCCTTCTGCCCTATAATGCCAGCTCTCCTATCTCTGATACTTCCAAGTGGACACAACAGGGTTAGCCGACAGTAACACAGAGCTGAGTGCCAGGGCTGTGGTAAGGATGTTGCTATGTTAACTCAGTTCGCTGGGTTCGCTCTGGCTTCTGTATAGTAGTTCTACTAATTGACAGAGAGAAGGGCACAAAGAACCTAACTATGAACGTAACTACATCTGTTTCTTCCTTTATGAAAACTTTCCATACTTTTTTTTTTTGAGACAGGGTCTCTCTACATAGCCCTGACTGTCCTGGAACTAACTATGTAGACCAGGCTGGCTTTGAACTCATAGAGACCACTTGCCTCTGCCTCCCGAGTGCTGGAATTAAAGGCATGCATCATCATACCCAGCAGCTTTTCATGTATTTTTAAGTACTGGTTTTTTTTTCCTTTCTTTTTCTTGAGATGGGGTTTCTCTGTGTAATAGTTCTGGCTATCCTGGAACTCACTCTGAAGACCAGACTCACAGAGATCCACCTGCCTCTGCCTCCCAAGTGCTGGGATCAAAGGTGTGCGCCACCAACGCCCGGCTCACACTTGCTGATTCTTCCCAGACAGTCCATCAACTGGGGAGCAGGCATTCAGACATATGAGCCTATGGGAGCCATTGTCATGCAAACCACTACAGAGAGAGGGGGCAGGTCAGGGAACAAGAGATATCTTTCCAGGGAGTTCTTAGTAACCTACTTCTAATGAGGCCCTACCTCTTTTTCATGACCTCCAATAAAGTCAAATTGTGAACACATCGAGGGATTATTCCATCGCTCTAATCACTTGCCCAGAACCCGGCAGTACCAACAGGAGATGCTTCAGATTCAAACCCATAGCAGGCTACTTAGTAATGGACTGTCTGCAAAGTTGCCCTCTGTATGTTTAAAATCAGCTCTGGTCATGCCTGGGGTCTCTGGGAGACACTGTAGGAGTGTGATACAGGACTAGGAACAAGCCTGCACTTGAGATCCTGTCTGGACTGGGCACCAGGTTAGGTACAGTCCTAAAGTCTCACATAGCAGGTCCTTCTCAGAGCTCTCGGGTATAGAAGGGTGGTCATCCCACCCCCAGAGTTATATATGAGTTTTTGTGGGACCAGTTCTCACAGAAAAGCACTGATGCAGCTTTTGTGGGAATTGCTAGACAGATGCTGGGAGCCCTGATCTAGGGCCTTGGGTTGTCCTGAAGGGTTTTGCTGCATGAAAGTTAACTAGGGCTGGGGAGATGGCTCAGTGGTTAAAGTGCTTGACACACAAGCATCCAATGTGAGGATCGGAGTTCGGATCCCCAGAACCTACAGAAATGCCGAGAGAGGGACCAAGGAAAACTCCCAGTGCCAACCTAGGGTCTCCACATATGAGCACATGTACCCACCTTCACACATGAGAGAACACACACACACACACACACACACACACACACACACACACACCAGTGAAATAGTTGGGATTTCTGTGATATTCTCTGTTGCTACAGTACTAATGAATGCTTTTTGTGACAATGAATTTTTAGAAAATCACTGGTTCGTCCCAGAAGCTGATCACCTGCAGGGAGGAGGCGGATGCCTGTGCTGTGGCTGTGTTATCCTCAGAGCATCTCTTCGGGGTCTGGATCTCACAGACCTGAGGAAGGGCCTGATGGATTAGCAACCTGCTCTGCAGGACTCAGACCCCAGGATGGGAAGCTCGTGTTGCTGTTTTCCTCTGGGGACAAAAAACAAGAGAAGCAAAAAGAGCCTGCTGTGTGCATGTCCAGTGACAGCCATCAGAGGCAAAGTGGTACAGCCAGCAGACAGCAAGTGATGAGGACAGGAGACCACAGAGCAGCAGTTACCACGTGCTCACTGAATGACACTGGGGAAAATGGCTTCGTCCCTCTGGACCCCCAGCTCTGTCACCTGTAGTGGGGATTAACCACAGTATTCAAATGTCTCTGTCCTTGTCCCTGTTTGTGTACACGCTAGCACTTGCAGGGCAGCAGGGAGACCAGTGGCGCCATGCACTACAGGGAATTCAGATCTTGTGAACTGTGGGGTATACATATGTGTTAAGAATGACAACAGAATACACGGATCTGGACGCATCCCTGTAATCTCCGTACTTGGGAGGAAGGGGTGAGAAAATCACACGTTCGAGGCAGCCTGGACTGCAGAGTGAAACCCTGTCTCAAATAAACGATCAAAAATCAAAGAGTAACACAACTCCTGTATGAAAACCAAACACAAACCGCTGTTGGTTTGGACTTCCCACTTTCCCAGAGGAATCCTTGAGGGAAGGAAGAAGTGGAGGCCATTTCATTTCCTGGCTGAAGTGACAGTCAGCAGGCTCTGCTGAGGGTGATGTGGAGGGACATGCGTGGATGCCGCTCTGGGTACATGAAGTGCCATCAGATCCTAGGGCCTTGTCCACAGGAAATCCCACGAGCCCTCTTCCTGAGGACAGTTCACTCGGATGCTCTTCAGGACTCCCTGACCAAGGTGGTACCACTCCTTCCTACCTAGGAAAAGAGCTGTGTTGAGGATGATGGGGGAGCAACCTTCTTGAGGGGAGAGGCCCTGCAGAGTGAGGATCTCTACCCCTCCCAGCTCTGGAACCTAGAGCTGGCTCGTCTCTGCCCCAACCTCCTGGGCTTCTCCAGCCAGCAGGGGTGGAGACAGGCCAGCTGTTTCTACCAGGTGCTTCCCGTCTTCAGCACAGAGGCCAACAGCCCTATCTCCACCTTGGGGACTCCAGGAGGAAGAGGGCAGGTCTTTGCAGGGATGTGGACTGGGGCTCTCTGCCTTTGTAATGCTCGGTACACTTCTGCCATGACGGTTTTGTGAAGTGTGTTAATTTTATATTTCAACTGATCTGGAAGCATATGTACTGTCTGCAAAATGAAAAAATGCATCCTAACATCGGTCTTCACTTTTGCTCCTTCTTTTTCTCACCTCTTCACTCCAGGGGCCTTGTTCCTCTGCCACCTGTCTAGGCTTAGAATAAAGAAATAACCTGGCCCTCCTCTGTCACAGATTCTCTTGGGATTCTGTCCATTTTTGCTGGCCTCTTTAGCTACATATATACCTCTCTCAGTTAGTCTGTTGTCTTTCATGTCCCCAACATGTGTTTATTGGACTCCACCCAAGCATCATAAACCCAACTTGCTTCTGATGGGGGAGTAGCTGCCTTCTCAAAGCTGACCACTCTGTCCTGGAACCCCCTCTCCTCCCCTCTACCTGTGTCACAGTTTTAACTGTCAACTTAAGACTATGTAGAATAGGAAGAGACTCGGTGAGGAACTGTGATGGGGAAGTCGTGTGCATATGTCAATAAAGCACTGTTGGCCAATAGAGAACCAAGATAGGTGGGACTAGGAGTTCAGGAGGACGATGGGTAGGAGAAACACAAGGAGTCAAGATGTAGCTGCAATAGGGGTAAGAAGTTTGGAACTATTCTCCAGTAAGAGAAATACTTAGAATAACAATTATGGGATAAATAATTAAGTCAGAGCTAGCCAGTAAGAAACAAGTAAGGCCAACAGCTTCATAATTAATACAGCGTCTTGTGTGTTATTTGGGGGCTGCAACGCGGCAGAGCCCAGGTGACTGGTGGGAAAAAACCAAAGTGGCTGGCAAGGAAAAGGCTTCGCTCTACAGAACTGTCTGGACCAGGTTGGCCTGTGGCCATGTCCATGGGGGACTGTTTTAATTATGTTGATTGATGTGAGGTGACACAGCCTACTGTAGGTGGCTCCATCCCCTGGGCTTGGTTCCTGGCCTGTGTAGGAGTGGAGAAAGCCAGCTAAGTACTAGACGTACCCATGCATTCATTTCTGTCTGCTCTTGACGGTGCATGGACTGTTTCTGACTCCCTGACTTCCCCACTGTGAACTGGGAGCCAAAATAAACTCTTAATCCCCTGAGTTGCTTTTTGTCAGGATAGTTTATCACTGCAACAGAAACTAAACTAGGACAGCCTTGGCCTTTAACCTAGAACATCCCACATGGATAGGGACAGGAGTGTATTTAGCAATTATCACAAGGCAGTAGCTGTAGCTGGCACTCTTTTGGGAAGACCGGAAGCCTAGGGACAAGCTCAGCATAAATTCTGCTTTCACTCCAGAGCTAGTCAGAGTCCCTGGACACTAGGGGAAGAGGTTACAAGGGAGTCATCCGGGAGCAGTCCTGGGTGGCTTCTGTTGTATCTGTGATTCTTGCTCACAGAGAAGCTTCCCACAGACCCAGGTTTTCTAGTTCTGCCTTCAGGGAATACTTGTCACCATCCAAAACCAAAAGCCTGCTCCATGGAGCCTGGATTTCAATGGGCAATGGGAAAATGATTAAACAATGATAGAATATTATTATTTACTGAATTATTAGTATACTGAGAGTTGATAAGCCTTAGGGAAAGATGGGAAGGTAGAGAACACAAAATAGGCCTGGGACAGGTTGCAGCCATCTCAAGATGAAAATGAGTGCAAACACCTCTGTTAGATGTGTTCCTGTGTAGCCACATGGTGTGAGAGATTATGTGTGACTTGAGAGCACAGTAACTTGGCAACAAATCCTTAGGGATGGGCTGTCTAAAACCAAATGTATTCAGTGTTTGTACTGTTTCTATTGATAGTTCCTTAAAAAGTTATTTTCCTGAGCTATGAAATAAAGCAAACAAATAGTGTTTATTCTGATAGGAGCATGCTTTGGGGATCAGTGAACTGGAGGGCTAATTGTAGACCTCAAAATTTGCATAAGAACAGTATGTCGTTATAACCAAATCTTTGATGGCTAGTGGTGTGTCAACTTAACTCAAGCTAGAGACGGCTGAGTGGAGAGAGCCTCAACTGAGAAAATGCCTTCCTAAGACTGGGCTGTAGGCAAGCCTGTGGGGCATTTCGTTAATTAGTGATTTACGTGGGAGAGCCTAGTTCACTGTGGATAGAGTCATCCTTGGGCTGGTCTTCCTGGGTTCTATGAAAAAGGCCAGTTGAACAAGCCATGAGGAGCAAGCCTCCTGGCTTCCATGGCCTCTGTGTCAGCAACTGTTTTTAGGTTCCTGATTTCTCTCTGTGAGGGACTGGAAGTAAAAGCAAAGTCAACCCTTTCCCAAGTTACTTTTGGTCATGGTGTTTTATAACAGTAATAGAAACCCTAACTTAGACAAAATTAAGCAAGGTAACATGAGGCCAGGTCTGAATAAAATGCACGAGTATTTTGAACTACCTGATGTTGAAAGTTGCACCATCTGAAACCCATAGGCAGATAATTTGGTGTTTAAAAAAAGAAAAAAAGTACTTGACTTTTTCCTGCTAAAACAGCAGGGTAGAAATACCACCCTTCACAATGCACACCGATGACCCCATTTTAGTTCCCAATGCTGTTTATCTTTCAAGAGTCGATGCTCCAGTTCCATGTCTTAGAGCAATGTCTAGTTCCATGTCTTAGAGCAATGTCTAGTTCTGTGTCTTAGAGCAATGTCTAGTTCTGTGTCTTAGAGCAATGTCTAGTTCTGTGTCTTAGAGCAATGTCTAGTTCTGTGTCTTAGAGCAATGTCTAGTTCCATGTCTTGTAGCAATGGCTAATTCCATGTCTGGCCTGGGACTGAAAGGCACTTGGGAATTTTGGGACATCCATGTATACCATATTCAGTCAGAAAACAAGCTTTGAACGGTTGGTCAGTCAAAGCTTGACACAACCAGTCTAATGAGTCCCTACAGACTGAAGGTGGGGCAGTGTGCACGCTAGGAGAAAAGGCCAGTATCAGTTGACACGATCTGAAACCATCAGTCTGTAATAATACCCCAAAAGAAATTCCCACAAGCTAATTCTCAGCATGAATTGAGACTAAAGGCGCTGGCCCAGCAGACCTGGAGACCTGGGTTTCCCCCACCCCTGGGAAGGAGAGGAACAACAACAAAGTTGTTCCCTGACATGCACAAAGTGTCAACGCACACACATTAAGTAAAAAATTGAAAAGAGGCAACAGTGTGTATTTCTACTATGAACCTGTAAGGTCTCAGAAGTGCCTGTGTCCAGGAATGAGTCTCAGCTCAGCTCAAGCTGGACTGTAGAAAGATTTCTCGTGGTTAGATAAAAGCTAGCATCCTCAGGAACTTGTGAAATGGGTTCCCCTCTGCCAAAAGGAGTCATTTCCCTTGCCTCTGGCAGAGGGGACATATGCCTCTCCATTGATACATACCCATGGTTGCACATCAGAGTCCACGCTGGTCTCCAGGCTCCCTCAGTCCCTACTTAGATCTCAAAGCCCAGGCCATCCTGGCTCCGCCCCCTCCCAGGCTATTGCGGTGTCCAGGCTCTCTGTCTAGATGTGGCTTAGCTCTGTACATGATGCCCCCCACCCCACCTGCTGCAACTACTCTTCTCGTTTTTGCTATTCTGGCTATTCTCTGTACTACTCTATGTATCTCCCTGCTGCTCTTTGCTCCCACGAGATAGCCTTGGCTCCGTCCAGTCTGCTTCTTGTTGCCTCTGTCCTGGACTATTTCAGGCGCCTCTGGATGTTCTCTCTCTCTTACTCACAACAAACACCTTCCCCTACTCATGGGGTGGCCGTTTCAGCGGCTTCCTTATTGTGTCCTCACAGTACACATTTGTGTTGGGCTTCTTGGCTCACTCATTTTTATTAGTGAAAAATACCAGCAAATGTAAGGAAGTCTGTCACAAGGCCTATTTCTCCACCACCAGTCCATGCTTCCAGACACCACCTATGCCCACCTGTAGGCCGCTAACTGCTGAGATCTCTGGGCTCGCCACTGCCTGTCTCCCACACTTTACTATCTCCTGGCGTGTCAAGGGGTTTCTGGGAAACTTTTCGTTTTACGGAGGAATTACAGATGATTATCTGGTCTCCGTGCTACGCCTCCCTGCCTCTTTAAAATAGGCATCTTTCTTGTTTTCCGTGGGCCTGTTTTCTTTTTTGGCCGGCGTGACTTTTTTGCGGATGCAGATCTGTTTCCTTTGAATCTGGCCGGGCCTGATCCGGTAGTCCAATTCCACCGCCCACCGGGAGGGAGCGACTTCATTGTGTGCACGGGTGTCTGGTGCCACCTTGTGGTGAATTCTGAAATCCTTCTGTTCCCACTAGAGATGAAGCTCCCTGTGTTTCTCGCTTAGAGGGAATAGGCTAGTTTTCCCGGGAAACAGGAATCAATTGGAGAAAGCCCCCATCCTAGACCGGAACACAGCTCCATAGTCGCTTGCAGTTTAGCGGCCACCATGTCCTTGCTCTCCATTTCTGACACTAGAGAGGCTCGCTTTCTTTTCTAGGTTTCTGCATCTGACTCACTCTGCAGGCACATGCTCAGATCCTACCCCTAGGAGGACTCGAGTTCGAGGTCGGTCTAGGCTACACAGAGAACCTTTGTCTGGAAGGAGGGAGGGAAGAAGGGAGGGGGAAAGAAAATGATGGCGATGATGACTTCAGGGCGGAGGCTGCAACAACAAACTCTAACCTAAACCAAGTTATCCCTCTTCCTCTTTTTGTTGCACACCCTATTTTTAACTTGTCCCTGGACCACGCTGACTTTCTCAAGGTGTTCCTCAGGCCAAGGGTCAGCAGCCGTGGGGAATCCCAATTCGTCCAGCCATGAAAGCGTTGTGCACACTCTGTGAAGTTGGGAACATCAGAGCGGACCCAAACTGTAGATTTGGTTTTGTTTTTCTGGCTCCTGAGACCCTCACGTTTCCTTGCCAGAGTTGGAGATTCACAAAGGAAGACACGGTTTCCCCTCTTTGTATCCCTTAGTGAGCAGTTGCCAGCCCCTGGAGAGGCTGTGAACTCTCATTCCACACCAGGAGCACCTGGGTAGGAGCCCTCCGGGGACCAGAAAAAGCACAAGGTAGTTCCTATCTTGCTCCTGAACTTCTCGCCTACCACACGCTTCCAGATTGTCTAGGGACCGCAGACAAGTTTCTCACACTTGCCTGCAAAGCAAGCACAGGCCGGGGTACCATGGTGGAAGGCGCAGAGGTGTGGTCTATTGACACCCTCCTGTGGCCCT